CTAGCTTTGCAGCAGCCTCAAGGGTTGCCCGACATCTCACAGGGTTTGAGCCATTCTCCCCCTCCTCTTCAGGGTGGGTGCTGATGGGCTGCTTAGACTAATCTTCTCCACCTGCCTGCTCCCAGGCAGCAGCCAAGGAACAAGACCCAAACAGGACAATTCAGACAGAAGGTACTGGTTGTGGTGTTCTTCTATGACAATTGTCTTCAGGTGACCATCCTTGTGAGCTTCCAGCTCCAGCAAGTTGCTTACTGGCTGTGCAGGTCCCTGGAGGATGCCTCTCACAGGAGCTGTTGCTGCTGTGGCTGGAGGTGGGACTACAAAGACATGTATTTGTACTTCAGTGACTTGATGCCTGGTTTTTTTTGGGTTCTGAGTGTGGCAGCTCTTTGCAACAGTCTCTATGACATCCAGACCTTCTACATACCCAAAGCTGGTGTCTGTGGCTTCAGTTTCTGTCATCTAGAACACGGCAGTGGCTGGGTCCTGCAGCGTCCCCCTCTTCCAGTCTCACCTGGGCAGGTGAGATAAAGCTTCCCTCCCTGCTCAAACCGAGCCCTACCATCCTCCTAGCCTTAAGAGAGTGGGAAGTTCAGTTTCCATACTTTGTAGTTTCCTGAGGGCCACCTCGCAGCGTGCTGCTGGACGCTTTCTTGGAATCGCTGCACGATTAGACTTTTCTCCTGTCACGTCCAGAAGCAGCTGAGATGCTGAAGGCCTGCAGTGCCTGATATTTTTATCTAGCCTTCTATAGACTTGATTGACAAGATCTATACTGTCTTGAGGCGGATGTCACAATGCATTTCACTTTCTACCCTCTTCTTAAATGGGCATATGGCTGCTGCTCTCTGTTCCTCTGGAGCGGCCTCCGAGCGCAAGCGGCAGTGAGCTCAGTGGAAGCGCTGCCAGCACCTAGCGCTTTGTCCGGGGGAAGGACTCTGAGAGAGCTGAGCGGGGGAAGACCAGTAAGGGTTTTCTGTCTTCATCTTGCCATTTAAGGAGCTTATTTAAACGTTGTCTTCATCTCCTATATCTGTGTTTTTCACAAAGGGCAAGAGTCAAAATTGGAGTTGTTGGGACCAGCTCATTGATGTCCCTTCTGCGTAAGCTGATCCCCTGAGAAAGCCCATCCCTGGAACTTGCTTTTTCTGTCTTAGCTGCACCTTTGCTCTGCTGTGCCGTGCCTGGGGGTGTTGAGGGGCCTGACGAAGTGTGGGGCTGCCAGAACCAAAGGTTTTAGCAGTGTGCCTGGCCAATAGCTCTTCTCAAGCTCTTCCTGGATTTTACTGCAGAACTCATTTCATTCTGCTCCTTGCCCTGTCTCTGGAGGTCCAGCTCCCTGCTCTTCTGCATTCCTCCAGCCAGGGACAGGGAAGCTCACATGCAGCCTGTCTGTCCCCTGCCTCTTCATGAAACACTTGCTTTGTTTTCCCTCGGGGTTTTCTCCTGGCTGTTACCAGATTAACCCCTTTGTGGTTTATTTGTGATGGTGAATGCTTTGCTGTGGGGATCCTTGCGGCAGGCTTAGTGATGGGATTAGCTGGTCTCATTGCATCAGCTGGGTATGTTCAAGGGCTTCCCCCACACGCTCCTTCACTCCTGCACTGCAGCCAGCCCTCACTGAGGGCCGTGCAGGAACAGGGTTGTGTAGGAGAGCTAGGGTCTGCAGAAAGGTGTGCTATCTGTTGAACCAGCTGCAGAGGTCTTCTGTGTGTCATAACCCTGAACATGCAGTTCCCCAGCTGTGCTGTTAGATACTCTTGATTTTTCCCCTTCTTTCCCCTCTCCTTTTCTGGATGCACTTGGCTCCAGTGCTCAGCTGCCAGCACGGAGCAAGGCTGGTCTGAATCTCAGCATTTCCCTGCTGTGTCTGCCTGGAGCAGGCTCTTCTCGAGGTGTGTGTAGCTGGAGGGATGCCCAGGCCCGGAGTAGCCACAGGGCTCTGGAGACGGGCTGCAGGCAGCCGTGGGCTCAGGCTTTGGGCTGCCTGTTGCCACAAGCCTGGAGCTTTTCCACAGGCACCTATCAGCCCTGTCTTACTTTGCTGTTCAACTCATCAATGAAAATGATGCCTCAGCCACGGGGTTTGGTTATTTTGGTGCTCCCTGCTCTGTGTTTCTGCCCTCTAAAGCAGCATTGCCTTGTGTGTACATAGCCAGTGGGTTAGCTGTCAGCACCCTTGCGCTATGTCTAACAAAGTCTTCTTTCTAATCAAACTGGGAGAGGGGAGGGACTGGTCGTTTACTTCTAGCAGAATATCCCTGCTGGCCTCATCTCCAGGGAACTGGAGATGTAGTAGCAAAGGGCACACATTCCCTGCAGCTCATGGACCTGCCTGGCCAGCTTCATCCCTCATGCATCTGCCAACACTCCTTGCCCAACTTACAGAGTGAGGGCCCTGGGACATGCAAACCTCTTCCCTTTGGGCTGCCCTCCAGCCTGGCTGGCAGGGGAAAAGCAGCCTGGGCTTGTGTGCCACGTGTGGGATGGGGGTGCTGGGAGAAGTCAGTACCTAGGAACTGGGAAGGAGACCCTGGCAGGAGGGAGGTGGGCAGGGGCTGTGCCACATGCCCCCCACTGCCCTGTGTAATCAGGCAGGGGGGAAAGGGAAGGGGTCTTTATTTCTGGAGTCATCCCAGCCTTCTCTTGGCTTCTGTTACAGGGGATTGTCACTGCCCTTTGTGCTCCTGCAACGGAGCGTGCCTGGGGCTGTTATCAGGCGGTTATTTAGCTGGTTGTGGAGCTGACCTGTATCGGGACAAACAGTCCCCAGTGGAGCCGTCTGCTCCCTGTCCCAGTGCCACGCGAGTTGTTTAATCTGGGAAGAGCGTGTTTGCGGCTGAGGACTCTCACGCTGCCCACCTGCAGCCCGGCTCCACTCGGGGAGGGTGGAGGCAGCTCAGCCCTTCCTTGCCCCTTCCCCATCCTGCTGCTGAGCGCCAGCCGGGCAGGGTCCACGACGCCCCGCAGCAGACATTCATGGGGTGCCCAGCCCCACCATCTGCCACCGTCCCCGGAAGCAGAGGCCGTCATGGCAGGGCCCAGCCCGTCCTGCCCTATCGATTAGAGCAGGAACTGAGGCTGCCGCCGAGAGCCAGGCTGGCCCCAGCACCCTCCCTGGCACCCCGTGTCTGGCAGCTGAGGCACGGTCTGGTGGTGGAGTCCCTGAGGCTGCCTCCATCCCAGTGCTGTGGCAGTAGTGTTTCTTCCAAGAAGTCAACGTTCTCCACTTGTACCCCGACATTTACACTCCCCCTCAGCCATGTCTTCTCGATTACTGGCTCTCCTCTCTCTCGCCAGGCCACAGCCACCCTGCCATGCTCCACACACTTGCTCCAGCTCTGGCCTCTGCCCCACATGCTTAGTGGTTTGGGGCTGGTCCTGGTGTTTGTGGCTGGTGACGGTGCTCCCGTTTCCTCTGCGAAGCTCGTCTCCGAGGCGGACCCCGCAAGGCTGCTGGTCTTGCACATCCTTCCTGCCCACGACGGGCCTGGGCTCCATCAGCCTCAGCTGATGAGGGGAGGGATGAGGGTGGGCAGTGCCCTTCACCCCACCACCTTCCTTTCCCGGCTGTTGTGGGTTTTCCCTCTGCCCCAACCCAAAGGGTGATGCCTCTGCAGGCGCTTGGGTGTTGCAAGCTCGAGATGAGGGTAGAGCCCAGGGACACACAGGGCACTGTGTTGGGAGAAACGGGGGCTCTGGTGCCCATGGCCAGATGCTGACGAGCACAGTAACGCTTGTCCATGGGCCTCCCGAGGCAAGCTCTGCCCCCCAGCCCGCGTGTGGGATGGTTTGTGCTGCCCAAAAATGCTGCCGCAGCTGTACCTGGCCCCGGCCCAACCGGAGTGGCTTCGTTCTGGGTGCAACAGCCTCAGTTTGGAGCACCCCGGTGGGTCACGCTCTCCGGTTTGATGCGAGGCCACTGCGGGGGCTTGTTCTTAATGTGTGGAGCACCAGAGCCAAAGGATCACGTAGGTCCCCTGGCAAACTGCCTGGGGGTGAAGCCCGGCTGGAGGCGAGAACCTAGGAGCGCTTAAAAACTTCTGGTGACTCTGCGGAAAGAAAACCCCAAACTGCTTTAAACGCTTGGCAGGAGCATGAGGTTCCACACAGGCTGTGCGCCACTGGTCCTCCCCAGCAGGTCCTCCCCAGCTCGCTGGGATGTGGCTCTCATGCCAGCAGCCCCCTGCTCTGCTCCCACCTCTCCGTGCCACACTGCGGGTGTTACCTGGCTGAAGCCCCAGGCTCCTTCCCTGCCCTGGACGCTTCCCTGCAGCCTTCCAAAAGCTTGAGTTTCTGTGCTTGGCTTGGCGTCTCCCTGCATCTGCCTCCGCCCCTTGCTCCAGGCCTGGGATGGAGATGGTGCCCAGAGGTTGCTCCCAGAGCATCCGTTGCTGGATCTGTTACACACATTTCCCCTTCCAGAAATGTTAATGCCGCAGTTGTGTGGGTGGAGGCGGGATTGAACGGAAAGTGTTTCTTCATAGCCAGGTCAAATCCCTTTCCTTCAGCTGCAGCTCTCCTTCCATATGGCTGAAGCTGTTGGCGGGGAAAGACCCGTCCATGGACAGGGGGTAAGGACTGAGCAAAAGAGCCTGAAGTGAGGCCCTTTCCCCCTTCGTCTTGCACACACACTTGCACCCATGTTGGGGTGCAGCATGCCACTCTGGGGGGCTCCAGTTGCCCTCCTGCGACTGGGCTGTGGAGGCACTGGGGAAGCACTGTGATGGCTCTTGCTGACTTGGGGAAGCGTCAGGGGAAGCGTTGGGGTTGCCGTTACTCAGTGGGCCCAGAATAGCCAAAACCCCACAGCGGATGTGGTGGCTGTGCTTCCCGTACTGCTCCTTGCCCCCGGCGCTACCCGTGGAGAGTGGGCAGAGGTGCTGCACCCACCAGGGCCAGCTGGTGGAAACCCTTCTGCAACAGGGAGCACGTGTTTCAGAGGGGAGAAGCAGTGTTGCACCAGCTGACGCAGACACCAGCTTCCCCCTGGATATTCGGGTTGCGCAAGGGAGCCCGGCATCCCTCCCTGTCCCACGCAAGGGCACAAGGACGGGGCGCTCTGTTCAGGATGTCACAGGCGTGGGTTGGCCTGGTGAGGGGACTCAGCCCTGACAAAACCCCCCCGGAGCCAATTTTAGCAGTGCAGAAAGTGAGTGGCCAGGGTTCTCTGGCAGAGGGACAGTCCACAGCTCTGGAGCGCTGACTCAAAGCTGTGGTATTGCCCAGGAAGAGCGGTGGTGACTCTCCAAGGGCACATCTGGAGGTGCTTCGTGCTCAGACCTGGCCTGGAGAAGCAGCCCAGGCTTCAAAAGATTTGAAAGACGTTCCCACCACTCAGGTAGGAATTTCCCTCCACTTTCCCACCAGGCCTGGGGCCACCTCCCCTCCTGGAGCTACCAGGTCCCTCCTTCCTTCCATCTCCTCTCCCTTTCTCTTCACCGGGGGAGGCAGAATTTGGTGTTACGGGGGAGACGGGGGGGGCAGCAGGGTACTGTCCAGGTGAGTCTCATGGCGGGAGCGCTGGCTCCCTCCTCTCTCCCCCTGCGGCCAGGCCGGGGCCGGCCCCTGCCCGCAGCCCTGCGCGGCCTCCCGAGCCGGGACCGGGAGCGGGACCGGAGCCCAGGGGCGGCAGCGCCCCGCCCCGCCCGGAGCCTGAGTCACTCGGCGGCCGCGGGACCCTCCGGAGCGGAGCGGAGAT